CAAATGCTTAGCAGAGTACTGGGGCCAGTTTAGGCCCTCCCCTCCACCACGGTTCCAGCCCAGCTCCCTCACACGCACACCAGACTTCCTGTTCCACCACCCAGCTGTATTTCCCTGCCTGTTATCACCCCCGCTGTCCTCTCTGCCTGCAGTGCCTTTCTTCCCCCACCTAATCCCACTCTGCCTGCAAGACCCAGGACGATGTCCACCTGTTCTCTGGAACGTTCTCTAACTCCATAGTTTAAATGAATCTTTCTTATCTCTGTTTCCAAAGCACTTTGTTTCTATTACTTTCTTTAGTGCAAAATTGATGTTGCTTTCTTTAGTGTATTTACCATACAATAAATTCTATGTGGAAAAAACTTTGTAAACTGTATCTTTTACGAGCATAAAGCATTGTTTTTCTCTCCTATTAACATTTCATTCTCTCCCCTTATGGGCCCTCCTCCAAGTACCTTCCAATAGTAGGAGCTCAATAAATATGTTGATTCAAACTACCTTCTGAAATAAACCAATTAGATATACTTGAGATATCATTTCAAAACATGCCAAACTAAATTCTACTGAATTCTCCCCACCCGCAAAATAAAAGCAGAATCATGCGACAGTACACATACTGCATAACACTTTCACCTTCAAAAGTCCTCTGTGAAAGAAAGTTAGACCTTTGTATAGCATAGCTATAGGCTGGTTTTTGTTCAGCTCTAAGGACTGCTGAAAGTCTTCATGGGCTGTTGCATAGTCCTACAAAAAGCAGAGTGGAAAAAAAATGAAGTAGTAGTCATTAGATATTTGGACATTTCCTATTTTTGATTGGTAAGAAAAAAAGCCCAATTCATTCAGTGCCCTTTTTGGCTTTAAAGGAAACATTTCATGGCCATAAATATTATAAGTTGAATGCTTATACTGCTTGTTGAAATAGTTGATTTTCTTAGGAAATTGATGAGACAAATTCACAAAGGTTTAATTTAAGCATACTGTTTCAACTATAAAAAGAATACTATTTTAAATGATATTAAAGTCCTAACCTGGTAGAGAAACTTTAGAAATTATTTTCTGGTACTAACATTTTACTGTACTGAATACTTCTAAAATAATCATGCATAGATCAACCCTAAACTGTGTTATGCTGAGATTTTTAAAATCATTTTCTTTTGCATTAGAAAACTGTAATGAAAATTACTGTAAATCCAAAAAATAACTGTGACAATCATAAATACCACTATGCCGATAAGAAATAATCTTCTCAGATTTGGGTCACTTACAGACAGTCTCGGAAGCCAAATTAATTCAGGTTATGGTGCTTGGATTGTGGTACCCAAAAGAATTCAAATTGTATCTCTAAGATTAACAATCACACTGATAACAGGCACACCTGCTTTCCTGCACTGATATCTCCAAGAAAGGCTGAAGTAATACCTGTGAACCAAATTTTTTGTTTCTCTCTCTCTTTCTTCTTTCCCCCAAGTCCAGAATTAGTTATTGCTAACACCTCAAGCAACATAATGTGTTCTTGGTACTTATTATTTCTGTATGGCTTCACTTTCAGCTAAAGAAAACGCTCTGATAACTGTCTTGTATCACAAATATATTACTACACAGCCCCAAACCCAAATCTACAGCAGCTTTCTGAAATAGAAGGAAAAGTGAAATCTTTATCATCAAGAAAGGAAATGAGTTTCTAGGCAAAATTACTCACCTCTGATATGAAGTACAGGGTCCCCCGGTGTCTGTACAGCCGTGCTGAAGGCTGAAGTTGGATAGCTTTAGTGAGGTCATTCACTGCTTCATTAATTCGTCCCAGAGGGGACAGAATCTATAAACCCAAAAATGTAATTAGGAGAGAAAACTTCCAATTATCAACCCTAAAACTGCCAATGTTTTTTGACTTTTTAATTACACTTCAACACACTCCACTCTCAGTGTTACTCTCTCAGCAGACTAGACCCCACGTGCTAACCAGTGACGTTCAAGGTCAACAGGCTGAGGGGCCCCTAGTCCCTCTGGCCAAGGGAAGGCTGATGAAGTACATGACTGCAGCAATTGCCTTGTGATTGTTTCACATTCTGGGGTATCACCAATGTTGCTTTTCTTGAAATGTAACCTTTTTTCCCCCTCAACCTGTAATTTCTCTTTCAGATCAAAATTTAGCATGTCATAATCAATCTGAAAGAAAACTTTGAACCATTAAAATAGAGAAACTGTTGGACACAGATGGAGCCCTCCATGATCTTCAGCTATGCCCTCTAAGGTAGTAAGTGATAAATGACAATTTCTAAGATTCCAGGTGTTTTGTAAGCCCTGTGTGTTAACAAGTCTTAACTCTTCAGTCATAATCTGCAAAGCAGGAGAAAAACCATCTGCAAGCCCGCTGGGAAAGCTCTTTTGATCCAGCATCAGTTGTGCTCAGGCAACACGACAATACAGAAGATAGTTCAGAATGCAAAAGCACACCAAAAGGACATCAGTAAATCCAAAATAGGTACCAGCATTCATGCAACCAAGCTCAAGCCTTTACTCCTGAACAAATGTCCTTAAGTTAGGGTTTATTTTGTTCTTCTAATACAGGTCATTTTCATCAAGTTTTACTACCTGGTTCCTACTCTGCAGGAACTTAAAATCAGCAAGAGAGAGGATTCAGGCAGGCATGTCACCAGTGGCAAGAATGATATAGAAAGAGGCAAGAAATGTAATGGATGCCTGAGAATTCAAAAAGCATAATGGTCTGGGATTATATTTTGGAATGAAAAACATCCCCACCTAGTTTATTAACCCCTAAGTACATAACTGAATTATGACAGCCCAGGACAGTCATCAATATGCATAAAAATGACCTGAGTAACTAAAAATGTGTAATTATGTTAATTAAATATAGACTTTCAGAAAGTATGAAAGTGAAAGATTTTTCATAAAATAGTCTCTGACATATATAAATGGTATGCTATAATTTAGCTGGAAAAATCACTATGTAGGGATACTACTGCCAAATAACATTGGAAAAGGGGGATATTACTATGCATTTTTAAGACAAATGAAAATTATGTTTCTAATTACCAATATCATTTTGGATATACAATGAGCTTTTTATTAAATATACAAAAATTTTAAATCTGCCTAACAAGTTATTTTTCTAAGAAAATTCAGAAATTAAATTCATGCTTTATCATAACATTTTAACATAATATCAGAATAACAGAGAATAAAAGCCTCAGCCTCTCCCCCCCGCACCCCCGGAAGATGATGACAAATTAGCCACCAAACGTTCACACTAAGCACCAGCCAGGCTCCTGTGCAGTAATGAACCCTCAGGGTTACCGTCCAACACAAACCAGAGATACTGAATTATAATATCATGAATTGAAGAAGAATTTTATTCAGAGAGCCAAATCCCCAATAAAGCATAAAAGTCACTTTAAGAAACTGAACTATAATCTAAGACACTATAATTTTGAGAACATCACAAATAGTTTTAAATTACTAAATTAGTACAACAATGTTTCCTTTACTTGCTAAGTTTTCTCTCCCAAAAGAGGAAAAGGAAGTAATTTTTTCCCCTTTAGTTCAACTATGAAATTCCACCAGATCAGACGATTAAAAGTTAAGTTTTATTTAGGTTAAATACATTAACATAAACTCTAAAGCATTTAACATGGCTAAATGTGCAGTAAAATAAATACAACATGAAACCTTGATAGTTTATTATTATTTTATGAAAACAGTAATGCTTTCATTTCAAAACATTAAAAGGAGTGCCTTTGCACACATTCCTTTCTCTGATCTGAACACCCTTCCCCACCTTGCCCCCCAGGATGTGAGATCTGATGGGCTCTCATGTCACCTCCTCAGTGGGGCCTCTGCAAACACTGAACACCGCAACATCCTGGCCAAGCTTGCCAGGAACTCCGGCAGGCCTCGCCTTTGCCACAGGCCACGCCTTTCCTAGAGAAGCACCTCCTCTTGGTGTCTCCTCTCACAGGAATTACCTGGAATTCTCACCACATTACCGATCTGTCTCCAGCTCAAGTTAGAAGTTCCTTCAAGGTCTGGTTATAGTGAGCCTTACCTGATCTGTGTGTCTATGCAGATAGGTATGTTTTATGAATATTTTATATAAACACACACACACACACACACACACACACACACACACACACCCCTACCTGCTTCTAAAGGTTATACATTTCATTTTGACCACACTGTCATATTAAGTCTTGCTAAAGAATGTATAGATACAATAAATGTCATGTGTGATATGTTTTGCAATGAACACTGATAGTAATAGTACACATCATAACTGCATATTTTAATACTTAGTATTATCATATGTTAAATAAGAAGTATCAGTTGGCCCATAGTTTTCTAGCAATTTCAACCATTTTTAAAAGCATTAAGTACTGAGGAGGAAAATACAATAGGTATAAGGGAACTTTAAAATTTACAAGTAATAAAATAATAGGAAAAAAAATCTGAGATTCAACTAATCCAATAAGGACAGAGGGAGAAAGAAAACCGCACTCACTTCTGCTCGCTGCTCAAACACCTCTGGACGGTCTGGTTCCAGGGAAATTACTCGGCTCAGTTCAAAGAGAGCGAGCTCAGCGTTCTTAATGTCCTTGAAAAGGCATTAGCTTAGTATGAGATCCACGGTTACTCAGAACCAGCTTGAATAGATTTTCTGAAATAACTCATAATTTAGTAACGATATAACTACTTATTTAGAAATAAGTATGAATTTAGCTTCTTACGACAGGTCTGCCAAGCTAAATAAGTTATGTTACCATTGTTTAACTCACTCAACCAGACCTATCCATCAGTAGCATGCTGGGCCTGCCTCCCTACACCAAGCTCCACAGATGGCAGGATAGTTTCTACATTTACCCAATTTAAACACTGAATCAACAAATTGCCAGGGATGAGACTGTGGGTACCAGCAAAATGATGCTGATCGCGGCAATGCGGGGACAGAGGGGTCAATCAAACACACCTCCACCGTAAGAAGTCTAGGTAAGTGCCCTTAAAAATCTGCAAGTTACTTTCACATTCAAAATATATAAGCATGTTCTTTTTATATTAAAAATGCATTAATGATACAAACAAATTTCATGTCAAGATATAAAATTAACACAGATGAGAGTTAGGAAGACGCAGGTTATCTTTGGCCTTCCCTAGGGCAGCCTGGCCATTTATCGATGCCCTGTTACTTCCCTAAATACCCCCACCATTCCCAATCCTGAGTTCAGTCTCAGTCGTCTATGTCTCAGAAGTATACAAATATTACAGGAAATTTCTCCAACAGGCCAGCACCCAATTAGTACAATTTTTTTAATTGGCAGATACAAAAATGATGTTTCTCCCTCAAAGTATAATTTCATTTGAGTACTTTTAACATACAATAAGATAACAGAAAAAGTTTATGTAGAATATTCTAGACTGAAAATGTGGATATCTGAATCTTAGACCATTTCATTATTTACTAAATAATCTCAGGAAAGTCTTCATTTTTATGCCATGGTGCCTCTGTTGAGCAAAACAGACTTATTCTAACTCTCTTCCTGCATTCGTCAGAGAAATAAGGGGAATAAGACTCCAGAGATACACCTATTATGGGAAGTATATTAGAGGATAACAAATAAAAATAAATTTTACCAAAAAAACTTTTGCTCTTCTAGTCAACCTTTAAGTATTGTGAACGGAACTCGAATTCTGAGCCCTACTGCACAACTGGTGCCTGGTCTCCACTTTTACTAAGAAATGTTTCTTAGGAATTCAGTCAGGGTCTCGTGCTTTTCTTGATCTATGTCCAGCTCATCAGGAAGTAAAGTTTAGGCTGGCAAAGGCTGTCCTTCTGGAGCAGAAAGTACGGCAAAATTGGCTTCAGAAGACCTGGGTAGAAATTCCCAGTTCCCGCCTCTTGGGCATTTGATCCTGAGTAAACCCTCTATTGCCCTTTTCTCATTTGTGAAGTGGAACGACACACTGCGTGTTCCATCAGAGCTGAACGAACAGTGAGTGGCTCCATCCAACCCTCGTCCGCGTCAGGTCACGTAGGCACTATGGCAAGCGTCACTATTCCATACTCACATGAAGGCCCTTCTTTCCATAGGCTATCCCTCGGCCATAAATTGCACTAACCAGATCAGGCTCCTCCTAGTCAGACCAAAACAGAAACACGTCAAAAACCATAAACAAAACAAAACAAAAATCAGTTTCTGCTTAAAGCATGTATGTTAATGCCACAAGTGACAGCTCTACTTTATGCTACCACACTCGTTAAGTCAATATGCAGTCCCCAACCAGAAAAGTCTGTGCTCTTAAAGCTCATTTCAATGAGACCATGCAGTAAGAGTTTTGCATTAAAAAATACTGAAATAGAGAGAACTAACCATACTGAGCTCTTGCTAGTTTCTTTCACAGTCATCTCACTTAAAATGTAATCCCCTCGACAACTCTATGATTGGCAGCACCAGCAAGCATGTCTTACAGAGAAAATAGAGGCTCAGGGAAGTAAACAGATATGAGTAAAGGACTGGGTAAGGTCTCTTCCTACTTTGTCTCCTTTCATACAGTCATGGCATAATCAGTGCCAGCACAGCGAGGAACGAAGACACGAGTCGGATCCACAGTCTGCTGGGGTTAACACAGTCCTTACACTAACGGGTCAGATTAAAAACCAGACCCTTTCTGCAACCTCCTCGCAGATGGGCTGCTAGACAGAACACCTCTCAGGACCAAGGACAGCGCCTGCTGCCTGGCTACGGTCCCTGCACACAGGTTAGAGGTCTGAGCTGTCCCACTCACTGAGTGAAAGGCCTCCTGGCTACACTTGGCCTCTGCAGTTTTGACCTCATCTCTGGATCCTTCACTATATGTTGAAGAAAGGAGTAAACAGCCTTTGGCTATAAGGTCCTAGGTGAAACTCTTGACACGGCTAAAGAATTTAACAGAACTGGACCAGACGAGGCACCTTATAGATTAATCTATGGTTAAGTTCAAATCTGAGAGAGGGTGTTCGCCAGCATTGGGGAAAAAAAAAAAAAAAGACACATCAACTTTAAGGATGACTAAGTAGAAGAGGTCATGCATTAGAAAAAAAAAAGGCTACTTTACATGGAATGAGGCACGTCACTGCTGGCCAGCAGCCTGGCCTCACAGTGTGTGGAAAGTTAGGAAAATTCAAGTAAACAATTACAGATTTATTCACGTAAACAATTATAGATTTATAGCTTCTCTTGGAAAATTCAACAAAGACAGGCCCACATTTTAGCATTCCCACATGACAAGAGATAACTAGTGCTAAGTCCTGGCCATCTCTTCAGATGAACAGCGTGTATTCATCAGTTTACCACAAGCCCACCCACCGTCTCTATGGCACATAAACTCACTTTGCTCATTTAGGTCACTTCCCTGGCTCCCATATAGTTTTGTATTTGTGGTTTACAACTTATATGTAACTGGCATGCGATTTGCTAAATGAAAAAAAAAGTACAAGTTACAGAACTCCAGAGGAATCGCAGTTATAAGTAACACTGATATATGATAGTGAGGGTCAGGGTGTGCACAGAAGAAAGCTCTCCAAATTACTTACAGTTTCAAGTAATATGTATTATAGGAAACAGAAAACTTCACTATAAATAAAAAATTTTACTGAATAGTCAATAAATGTATTATAAACTAAGAAAATTTAGAAAATGAAAAAAAAACACAAAAAAGAAAGGAAAGGGCACCCTATCACTCAGCCACCCAGAGGTAACACTTGAAACATTTAAATATCCTTCCTGCTTAAAGGAAGGCAGGAGAGGGATACAGGTACAGACGGAGAGGGAGAGCCGGAAAAACAGTCACCCACTGAGGAATGCAAGTCAGACTGTCTTCCTGTTTTTCCATAGCAACAACCCCGGCCAGAAGGTGGGACAGTCAACAGAAAAGCACCTCGGCCAGGACCAAGTGCTGGGGCAGGGCGCAGTGAGCCCACACAGCTCAGCCTGTGACGACATTCTCCAGTTAGAGGAAAACCTATGCTCAGATTTATAACATCTCAAAAGATACTATCCAAGAAGCTTTTCTCCTGAAACTGAGAAAAATGTTATACCAGGTGAGCGATACATGAATCAGAAAAAGGTGTATTTAAATAGTTATTCTACTGATATGGTTGTCATCACCATCCAGCCACTCTGGAAGTCTTCCTCATCTCCCCAGCCAACATAACCTACCTATGAAATTCTGGCAGTTTCACCTCCTGGACAAAGCTGGCGTCTCTCCCGCCCCATCCATCTACACTGCCCTACTTCCCTCTTGTAAGCCACTGCAGCAGTCTTAACCATTTTCCTGTTTCTTCCCATCTCGTCTCCAGACCCATACTAAGATCACCTGTCTGACGCTAAAGTCTGATCATGTCACTCCCCTGGCTGAGATTAATTATTCACTGGCTCCCCAATACCTACAACAGAGACATTCAAACACATTTCTATTTTAACCCATAGTAAGAAATACTTTTTACATTGCAACCCTACGTACACATACACATGCACATAACATACACACATACACACACGTATCAGAAACAAAAGTTTCACTAACTCATACCTAGTCTTAACCAAACACGCTGTAATCTGATATTTTTCTAGTCTACTGTATTACATTTTTTTTAAAGTGCTAGTTTTGACTTGCCAGTTAATTTCAGGCCCTACTAAAGGGCAGCAACTCGCAATTTGAAAAATAATGAGGTAACATCTAAATGCCTTTGCAAAACATGCCGATCATTTTCCTGCCTTCCTGTCCAGCTTTGTCTCCTCCACTCCTCCACTCCAGGTTCCTACTAAACTCAGCACCCTGGACAGTTCCCTACACGCGCCTTGCTCCCAGAGCTCAGGACATGTGAAGTGCCGTCCCTCTCTACCGAAACTGTGCCCATGAAAGTGCATCTGTCCCTTCAGTCTCAGCTCAAACACTCCTGCTCTCTGACTCCTCACAACCTCCCCTGGAAAATAAATACGTTCCTTCTCCTCAGTTCCTACTAAACGTCATATGGACGTTAGTCATTCCTTCAACAAATATTGGGTTGTCGGAAAAGACATATTTTCTCTATGTTTTTCGTTGCAAAAATGTGTCATGACTTCTCCAACAACCCAATATTTACTCATGGCCTGCTCTCAGCCATTTCTGGTTCCATGTGCCAGAAACACCACCGTAAGCAAAAACCAACACAGAAGGCGAGAGAGTCTTCTTTCCTTGCAGCAGAGTCAAAGAACCAAAATATAAATGTAGTTACACCTTCAATAAGTGCTAGAGAGTAAACGGTGCTTTCAGAAAATGCATAAAGGCCCAGATGAGGTTGGGAAGGGCTCCCTATGGAAGAGGTACCTGAGATCTACAGGGGCGGGGAATCCCGGAGTGGCTGCTGGACCAGGCAGAGAGAGCCAACTGCGCCAAGGCCCTGAGGGAGACAGGGAACATGGCATCTGTCCCAAGATGAGGCTGGAGAGGTAGGTAGAAACCTTTTTAAGGGTTTTTACCTTTAACCTAAAAGCATCAGCAAAATATGTGTGTGTTTAAAGTGCATGTATATGCATGTTGTGTGTGTGCACACATGCATGTGGCTATGTGCGTGCATGTGTGGGGATATATGGCCACATCAGTCATCTGACAGATGACAGGCTTGGCTGTGGTTTGAACAGAGCCAGGAGAAGCAGGTGGACATAGGAAATACTTAGGAGGTCTACAGATAGAACTAGGGTGTGTGGAGTATGTGGACTCATGTGACCCAATGGGGGTCCATTTACTGAACTGGGCGACACTGGGATGTGACCAGGGGTTCTTTATAAGTTGTGGGTGGGGGCATGTGGAGGGATCGGGGGAGAGCATGTGGTCAGTTTGGAACCTTTGAGTCGAAGATGCCTGTCAGACATTCTTTCAGACATCCAAGTGGATATAACTTCATTAAGTAATTCTCTGACTACATCATTATTTTGCATTTGCATGTTTGTCACCCCACTGGAATACCATATCCTCAAAGGCATGTCTTTTCATGTCCGGGTTGGTGGCACCTAGCACAGTACCTGCCACATGCTAAGTCTTAACACATAGCAGTTATTATTAGCAACAAATACTGGCCCAATATGCAGCTAGAGAACCTTAATGAATAGTAAAAGTTAGCAGATCAAAGTCAGCTCTGCCTGGCCTGCTCTTCTCATGGGGAAGCCAGCAGGATGACATGGCGAGTGACAACTGGGTGCAGCTGATGGAAGAAAAAGGCCAGATCCAGGGTTCAGTGAGGCAAAGCCATAGGACACATGAGCTATGGAGAACAGCTTCTCATGGGCCACCAGCTATCACAGCTCTTACATTTCTACGGCTATAAAATTTTTAAGCCTTTAAAATATAGCCACTCAAAAGTCTGAAACAGTTGAAATATCCAAACCACCGGCAACTTCCTGAATTCAGTCTTCATTCTTCTGGCTCTTGGGATTTTACACTTTTTTAGAAAAATTCTAAAAAGAAGGAGTAAATTGAATGGCTCTATTCAATGTAGATTCTGTCTAGAAATTTTTTCCCAATAATATAAAAGGATCTATAATTACTGTGGTTCTTATCATTGTTACAGTCTAGTATTAAGGGTTCCTAAATTAAATAATAGCTTTATTAGTTTTTTGATTGATACTTTATTATTTTATCAATCATTGGCTTTAGATGTTAACAATAAACCAAAGCTCTTTCTTATTTTTTTAGATTTTTTTATTGGGGAATTGGAGGAAGGGAACAGCATTGGGGAATCAGGGAAGGGGAACAGACAAGTTGCTGTCCTTTTGTTCTTCAGTCTAGTTGTGGAGGGCGTCGCTTCACTGGCCCATATTGGTATTATCATTGCGCTCTTCCCAGGTGAGGCAGATCGGTCGCCAACCATTGGATGGCCGCTCACGCTTGGCTACCAGTCACTCACGGTAGCTTATGGCAGCCCACTGCAGCAGAGGCTGCAGCCTACGCCGTCGCCGGCGACTCACGGCAGCCCAGCTCCAGGTCGAGCTGTTTTTCACCATCTTAGCTGTAGAGGGCGCAGCATCACTGGCCCTAATGTGGGATCTGAACAGGCGTCCTGCTGCCCAGAGCTGGCATCCCAAGCCAACTCTTAACCAACGCACCACTTGGCCAGCCCCCAAAGCTCTTTCTTAATGAAATGTCATAATAAATTACTTTTTCAAATAAAAACCAATGTTTATTTCTAAAACCTAACTGGGCTCAGAAAATCAATTTTTCAAAATATTTTTAAGTATGCAAGTCTAATATTTGTATTTTATAAAGTTTTCAGAATTTTAAATGAATTAAATGAAAACTATTTCCACCTTCCAATATTACTCGCTTTATGCAAATGCAAAATCATGGTGTATTAAGATAGCTACTTTGCTAGAGTGATGTCCACTTAGATGTCTCAAAAATTTGATGTTTTACAAAATCCATAAAGGTATAATTAACTATCTTCATTATATTATAGTGACTTTAAATTTTACAAATATTTATTTTTCCACCACAAGGCTGGCTTTTTTATTAAAACTCAAAAGTCAGAGGATCAAAGCAAAGGACAAAAAGTCACCACACAGCAATGCAGTAAGGATTAAGTTTTGCCTAAGTGGTGGACACACATACATATTTACATAAAGAATGTTTACAAAATCACACGCAGAGGAATGTTTTAAATGTTGTCTGCTAATGAAAAATGAGAGACAACGTTCTTTCATTAATTCAGTTCCACCGGAATCAGATCAGAATCAGGTGAGCTCAAGGTCACACAATTAAGCAATTAATTTGCCAACTGCCCCATAAAAATGTCACAACACTTATGTTTCCCAGCTCTGCGCTTGGGGACCAAGAAGCACAGTAATCAGGAAATGGTTCCACTTTTCAAGAACACTATCATCGACGCACTGACACATGTGGAAGTGACATAAGGATATTAATGGAGAGATTACACATGTTCATAGGCTTTTATATCAAGAGTTTTCCAGGAAGACTAATTTGTGCTCATATGAAACCCTGATGCTCGAGGAACATTTTTTTCTTTTATAGATCCACCAAACAAACCGTATTTGGATAAATAGTCAAATGAACACTTGAAACAACAAAGATTAAGGAAATTTCTCCAAAGTTTGTTCCCTGATGGTACAGCTAAGATTGCAGGGAGGTACACAAGCTTTACATCAAAAGGCCATTCTGGAATTTAATTAGTCCTCATGCATAGATCCAAACTTCACATTAAATGATCTTATAAAAATGGTGACTCTAATAAAATCGAAGCCCCTGTGCTCCCGTTTGTTCTCGGCTTTCTATTAATGGAATCGGATTCCATTCCCTGCCACTTTACACTGGAGTTCACGGGCTATCCAAGAAAATGTCTGTCAGGAGTGAATGAACTCAATTAGCCCGAAAAGTTTGTGTGTGAAAAAGCTGCTCCTGCAGGTTTGTTAAAGACCATTTATTGGCTTAAAAATGGAGTTCTGGCACCGTGGAAGGTCCCGCCATGAACAGGTGGACATCTACAGCATGCGGTGACAACCATGATTCTCCTGGGATATTTAGTTCGGGCCTAGCTTTAAGAGCGGCTTCCACGCACGCTGGAAGGAACGCTTCACTGCTGTTCTGCACACTGAGCACAGCAAGGTAATGTTGGGATAAGAACCAATTTCACAGCTGCAAGGAAGAGCACCACCGCGTTTGCCAGTGAAAGCAGAGGAAGAGCAGTTGAGAACAGACGTACTTTTAAAACACAATTTAAGGAGACTGATTAATGCAAATTCCGATTCATGGTGAGAAAAGGAGTTTGAGTCAACTGGAGAAGAAGCAACAACTATTCTTTGCACACTTGCTGCCACCTACTTGTACAGTTTCTTGATGAGACGGGCTGTCAAGAATTTGAAGAAAACGAAAAACTCTTAAATAGGAATTTGTGCATCACTTTCAAACAGAAAGCCCAACATACAAAAAGTTTTGCCTAGAAAAGCAGGATCAAGTTTCTTATTAAAATAGTTGAAAAGATTGGCACTTAATAACAAATCTTTGCATTTTGTCTTTATATCATATCACGTAAGAACAATGTAACGAATTGTCATCAAGCTCTACCCTAACACTGCTAAATTTGCTTCTGTTTACTCTAATGTGCCATGCAAATAGGATTTCCTACATGTGTCATGACGTGGAAAAGCTGGGAAGCACCGAAACGAAGGGTAAGAAGAGAAAGATCACCAAGCAAAGCGCCAGCGGGACAGCCCAAGGCACACTCGCTCCACGTCAAAACGTGTTGAGTGACCAGCTCTTTATTCTGTTGGCCAGCAGAGTCTGATCCTATTGCTGCTCTCCCAGCCCAACTCCTGCCCCATCAACTGCCTGAATCACCAGAGAAGCGGTCCAACCTTATAACCCACACATTCTCAAAGAAAAATTTCCCAGTTGAAAGCAACCCATCGTATCACAGGTTGATGACAGTGCTATATCAAATTTCAATATATTAAAATCTTTTCTTGGCACAAAGAGAAAAACTCTAATCTACTTTCTGAACACAACTGCAAGAGAAATACGTTTTACAACAATAAAGGGACAACACAAAGGTATATTATAGAGCCATTAGAATCATAAGATTGTAGAGAAATACTGAAAAACATGCACAGTATAAAATTAAGTGAAAAAGTAATACAAAACAGTACAGATTATACAAAAAAATAATACAAAATATTCAGATTATAAAACACAAATGCATACTTTGAAAAGGTCATAAAAAACAAATAATGGTAGAGTAGCAGAATTAGGAAACTTTTTACTCCTTAAAGTTTTTTCTTTAACATTGTTATATTGCCTTCAACTACAATGGTAACAATATTTTTCAAAACGTTGACTGAATTGGTCACACGACTGGAAGCTCACAGTGTTTTCTGCTTATTGGTCACCATGAGCTAATTGACATTTGCTCCTATGAAGGCATCGAAACCTCCCTTTCAAACCAGGGTTAACTGTAAAAGTGCCTGCTGACCTTTTTTAAGATTGCAATGCTAACTAGAAAGGTGATTTTAAAAACTATTTATAATCTACCCTTTCATACTTTAAACCCCACCAAAGAACATCACTCCGTAAAATCTCCCAACACACAGCTGCCTCGGTCTGAGGACTTAAGTAACAAGTAGGACTACCTCAGCAATTTTTGAAAACAAAGACAGAATTATCATTGTAACTAAAGCTATGTTTAAAAAGAGAAAACGGAACACAGGAAAAATTTCAAATTAACATCTTACAATGAAGAGAAGCTATGTGTTGGTTCTTACTGTATTAGCACAAACAGGCCAGAGGGGTGCTGAGCTGCTAAATTTACTGAGCACTTACTACGTGCCAGGCGCTGGGTACAAAGTACTTGATAGGATGTTTCATCTAAACATAACAAGAATGTTTTTGGAGGTAGTTATTATCGTCCCCTGTAACCAAGGAGGTGAAATAACTTGGTGGGAAGCAGCAGAGTGGATTAGGACTTGGGCAGCTCTAATTCTAAAACCCATGTTTTCTTCACTAGACAGGCACAACAATAATTGATAAAAGTCAAGTAGCTACAAAAATACAGCTAAATAATGATAGAAGATATAAAGCCAATAGTGTTAGGCTGCATTAAGGGTCTCCTTTGCAACTCTTATCCATGTATATAAGCATTTTATATTAACCAGATTTTAATGCAGCTCTCAATCAATACAGGCCCAATACTTCCACTGAAGGGTCTTGTAATTATACTTCAAGGTGAGAAACAAATCCATGAGTGGAACTTCAGTTAACCATGGAAATCAACGCCTGCGTAAAAAGTAAGTGTCTGGAATTCCGAGAATTTCCAGTGCCCACATCTCATGGAAGATATCATGGTAGAGAGGAAAGTAAATTGAAGCCAATCATTGTCTTTTTTAACCCTGCATTTGAATGCCATATCTGCCACCTGATGACAGGGAGATTATGAGCAAATTGCGTTAGCTCCTTGATCTCACTTCCTCATTTATAGTAATAATGCAAAGGTAAACGAGAGCGTTACAAGGCCTGCACCAAGGAAGTGCTCAGTCAGGGCTGACTTACTCTACTTTCTCGTAGAATCTTTAAAAAGGTGCTTTACTGCAGCACTTAAGCTATGCATAAGTCCATATTTTTGTCATGACTATAAACTTGAAGTTACATGATTAAGAGGAAAAATTACCTGAAGCATTGTTGAAAAATGTCTTATTGCTTCATCATAGAGGCCACTGCCAATCAGCACATAAGCAATAGCTAGGAAACAAAATACAAAAATATTAAAGGAAAGAATAAAGGGTCTTGGATTAGAATCAATAACTAAATTCTTACTGAATCTTAAACGGCAGCTCCAAGGACTAGAAGCAGTTAAAGAAAACCTAGAAGTGAATAAGATGTAATTAAATTCTTCTACCACTCAGCACTTGCTAATCAGTCTTCTAGTTCTATCTAGATTTAAATGATTAAAGTCATCTATAAAATATCTGCCTAGAAGTAATTATCTTTTTCTAAGCCCATCACTCTCTTTCAGTACCAAATAACCTTTATGATGTTTCCTATCTATATATCAAGAGCTAGTAATAAGCCTGAATAATATCCACATAACATGGCAATGTGATTTTACTGTAAAGTTATGACAAATACCCAAATAGCATCACAAATCTTGATTCCTGGGGATGCTAAATTTACTGTCAATTACCTAGTGAGAACAAAAACAGAGGCTCAAATTAATATATATTAATATAATGCTTAACTGTAGATAATTCACACCACTGCAAAGCATTGGTAGTCTTTTTTCTACCTCTTCTATTCAAAATAGTCAAAATACCACTCAAAATACACACTAAAGGTGAATGAATAGTTCTTGATCCAATTATTTAGGTAAGTAGTATTTTTTAAATTAGAGACCTGACAATCTCTTAACACATGACAATATTTTGACTAAACCTTTTCATCTATCCAAAAGAACAATCAATTTTAATCTTCTAGATTATATTTCCATCTATAATATTTGCCCAATCCCTAAATTCCCAAATATACCTGAAAAAACATATTCCTCATTCAACATAATACTAGTTTGATCACGTTCCTTTGCAAGAAAGCTGTACTGCAACTCTCTAATTCTCGGATCTAATAGGCATTCAAGAAGATGGACAACTGAAACTTTCACCATCATTAAGCGCTTAAATCTCCTGATTTAAAAGGAGCAGAAAACTTAAATGCAGTAGGGACATAAATGCAGAAAGAGATTTAGAGTTCTTTAGAACTAACCTGAGAAAAGTCAAGTTCAAAAACACTGAGCATCATAATAATACAAAAGCTTTTGGGGGGCATTCCTCAAAATTAAAAGAGGGTTAATTTTATCCTAATTTCTTTGAAAAGATATACTAAGGTCAAATTCATATTCAGAACAATAACAATAAATACTATTCAGATAGTTGTATCAGACAATGAGAAAACCAGAGATATCTTTGGTGGGGGCCAGGCATATTAGTAGTAAAAACAACAAACAATAATAATAACAGTTAAGTGTATTGGATTCTTAGTACGTGCCAGGCACAGTCGTAAGCATTTACGCGTATTAACTCATCTACTCCTTAACCACAGTGAGGATGGTACACTTATTACCCCATGTGCAGGCAGGGAAATGAAGCACAGAACAATTAAACAATTATGCCAAGACAATGTGCCGTGAGAGTCCTCTGCCTGCTCCCTGGCTCTGGGCCCCACCCTTCCCCAATGGGCTGCGCGCAGGCTGGACCGCAACTGCCATGGACAGGGCCAACATCCTCGATGGTTACACAGACAGGGACTGAAACATAAACTTGTACTGTTTTAAACACAGGAAGATGATGATATCCTGGAAAGCCCAGGTCTGGGCTGGGATCGTGGCTCTGCCTCTCTCTGGCCGTGTGATCACGGGACCTTGGTCACTTTTCATTACTCTCTGGGTCTTGCTTCACAAGCCTGTAGAACATTTTCTTAAATTCCTTGCAGATCTAAACGTTTTGCATTTACTATCTATCTTCCCATAATCATAAATATCTGTTGAATGAACAAGGACTAAGTGACCCACAAAAACAAGTATAGTTTTATGGATAAATATTATATTTAGCAACATGTTCAAACTGTTGTCCATGGCTAGGTTTTAAATTCCACTCAAATAAAAACAAATGCAGCTCTTAAATCTTTCCATCTAAAAATAAACGTTTTTGGAGAAAAACCCAAAAGTATCCATTAAAAAAAATAATCTAAATCTTGCACAAATATAAATAACTGTTAGGACCTAATTTTTGTTGTGGAGTCCAAAGACGAAGAAAACAACCGGGGTGGCTGGAATTCTCAGAGAAATCCTTACTAACCAGCAATTCCACATCTCTTGGCAATGTTTTTTTCCAAGAACAAAAATACTGTGGTACACAAATCCCTACAGCAGCTCAGCCTGTACTCTCCCAGGGTCTGCAAGGATTATTCCTGGAACACAGAACAGGCCATTGTTTATTATAGAATGAATGAATACACGGCTGCACAGAATCCAAGGACTTCCAAAAAGACCAAAGCTGATGCCTTAAAGGGCAGTTAATTCTCAAAGCCTACTCAAAGAATATCACCAAAAAGTCATTAATACTTTAGAAATAGTCCGCTCTCAATTATCTGCACTAGCAGAGGAAAAGCACCAATTTCAGAAGTACTCAGTCTTAATATAAAATGTGTATGGCCACAGAAAGGATGAAATGATTATGCATAAGTTAGACAGAAATGTTTTCCTGCAGGTGCAGGGGCTACCCAGCCCAACGTGGAAGCATGTGCCACGTGAAGCCTATCCAGCTGCACTGTTCTGTCCTGTATTCAATTTCGTTTCCACCCCTTCCAGTGTGAGCTGACCAGGAAAGGAGGAGACGCACCCGAAGCATGTCGGACACGGGCAGAACCAGCCTGTTTTAAAATGTGCCAGGAAAAACGGGCCAGCCGAGTGGCTCAGTTGGTTAAGAGCTTGCTCAAGAGTTTGAGCGCTGAGCAACAGCGGTTCGAGTCCAGCCCAAGCTGAGCGGCCGCTGAGCTGCCAACAGGTAGCAGGATGGCTCAGCTAATAAAATAAAATAAAATAAAATGTGCCAGGAACAAGCCAAAGTGCATGACATATTTGCAGATCTGGATGAGCTCAACTTTTCTACACCCACATTCTTAAGACTGTCCTCAGGAGTAAAATTAACCAAAACCTAGCCATTTTATTACATAGAAGTTAAAGTGTGCTTCTCCTCTGCTTTCACTTCTATATTGCTCTTCTTTGATGACAGCACACAAATAACCTTTTAATGAGTAACAGCTCATAAAAACTCATTACCATAATTATTCATGTCCATAGAAACACACAGATGAAACTGTCTTTCTTGAACTTTCTATCCAAACCTTTGATTTATGACATACATATAATCCACGGGTCCTCCCAGGATCGAACCACTCACTGTAGCAGAGCCGGCCGGTCTCTGTACTCTCTGCCTCACCATCCTGCCTACCTGCTCTGCATCTAATCTTAAATTCAAGGCAGATACTGCATGGATGGCCCCGGCTTCAGTCTCACCTAACTCTTCATTTGTGCTGTCGTTATCAGTAGCAAACGGGAATCTCTTCTGTTCGGCTATGGACTTGGCCTGGCTCTGAAAGAAAACAAGACAAACAAACATTTTAGCTTATCACAAACAAAGAGAAAACATAATGAAAACCTGTAAGTTAAAAACTTAAAGCTACATTTGATTTCTATGGAAGCAAAAAAATATTCACTTGAAGTCACATCAAGGGCAGTGCTTGTGTGAAACTGACTTGCTTCCTCTCCCTGTCACTCCTGGCTCCCTTTCCAAGAACGAGTATCTTTTTACCTCCACGGTGATTAATCTGGCCAGTGGTTTCAAAGCGTTCCACATTTTCACAGACCATTTAATGACCTCAGTTATGTCACAAAGATCACAGTCTAGGGGTCACTTCTTCAATGTAGCTTGCTAACAAATATTGCTTTTTAAATCCTAAAAGTATTTTAGAAATAAGAGCTAGAAGTTGTACAGAGATGACACCATAAAAGGACCAACAAACTCTGACCAAGAAATGAGACAGTCCTTTGAGTAACGCACAGCAAGGGTAACACAAGCATCCACACAATGCAGCAGTCACCCATGAAGACACCATGCAGACACACACGCACGTCTAGCAGGAGAGCTGGACTGAAGTGGGAACAGGGGAAAACAAACTGTACATGTTAGCTTAGTAGCTGGAATGACTTCACAGGCAGGATTTGTCCTCCGTACAAAATCACAAGCCACGTCGGGTAAAGGATCAGCTGCTACTTCCCCGAGGGTTAGGCTGCCAGCACCGAGCTGTGGTACACCAAGCCTGTAGGCTTCATATTAACATGGTAACTTCACACCAGACTCACCTAACACGGAATTAACACTCGTACACACAGAGGCAGGAAAAGCTAAGATAGTCTGTAACTGTTGGCAAAACCACAGGATTAGAACCCAGTTGAAGTCCTCTTTTTTTAAACCCGTGTTCCAGGGCTGGCCGAGTGGCTCAGTTGGTTAAGAGCTTGCTCAAGAGTTTGAGCTCTGAGCAACAGCAGTTCGATTCCCGGCCCGAGCTGAGCAGCCGCTGAGCTGCCAACAGGTGGCAGGATGGCTCAGCTTTAAAAAATAAATAAATAAAATAAAATAAAATAAACTGCTGTTCCAGATGCCTACAGGCAGAGACGACAGCCAGGTACTTCCCCGTGGGACACTCTTCTGACTAACGGGTCTGCCACTTAGCCATCAACCGTGAAGCACCACTGAATGCTCTAGATGCAGACGGCTGTTTAGATACGGAGTGGTATGTGCTGTGCCTATAAAACAGGTCAAGAATAAGCTACCTCCGGTTAAAACACAAGTGAAAACATACAGGTCAGAGGGCATGCCAGCTCCAGTCACAGTTCTCACTTCCTTCAGGACTCAGGCAGCATGGAACATCTGAGAATTCCACTAGGTATTTCCTCCAGGGTAACCCAGCTGACCAGATAGATGCTCAACCCGCTCTCTTGTTTTGCTCTGTGGCTGGGAGCTTCCACATACAGGAGCCTCGTAAGACTTCCTCAGAGGTGGCCATTTAACAACACGTAACAGCACCAAGGCACTGTGCAAAGGTCCGAGTGTGACCAAATCCGAGTCCCTCCTCTTTGCCAGGTGACTAAGGACAAGCTTCATAAATTGCTAAAAGCCAAGACGAGCGGTCTATACATAATTTTTTTAATACTTAAAAAGTCTTACTATTTCATCCAGTATTCAGTGACAGGCTACCATTTGCCAAGGCTTTGTGCAAAAAGTCAGGGGAAGAGAACAAATGTGAAATCCCATTAAAAGCAGAAATCACATACCAGGCAACATCAAGGGTATACTGGAGAGTGTATCTGGTTTAAAACTGTTTTTATTACCTTAGAAATAAAATCTGGAACAGCAGTGGGCAGGAAAAGCACAGGAGGACACACCCGTTGCCTGATCAGACAACCCTCCCATTTCTAACACTGCACCTCCGTGGGCAGGGGGACAAGGCTATTGTCCCACACCGCCAGGAGACCCACTCCAATCCATCTTCAGGTCCCTGCTTCCGTTTCAGTTCCTGAAAGTGGTCTTGCCTGGGCCCCTCATTTAAGGGAGATTATGTTGACCCTTTGCTTTCCCTTCATGTGATTCGCACAACTGTACTTTTGTTCTTTGTATACTCGTTCAGTTAGTGACTTAGTAGCCTTGAGTGCAGGAACCGAGGCTATCAGGCTCACCGCTGTATGCCCAGCACTTATTAGCACAATGCCAGCCACATAACAAGTGCAAAATAAATATCTGGAGAATGAATGAAGGAATGAAGGAATGACTCGCATAACTCCCATATTTTAACCTAAGGAAGACGAAAGGCCAAGATTGGTGAGCTTTCTCCCATAGGTTACTACTGCCATCTTACACTGGAAATGCCACTAGTAGAAAAGATTTGAACTACCATCAGTCAGAAGCTCCCTCATGACTATGAGATTCTAATCGGCACTCCAAGGTGGGGATTATCCAATCTCTACTAATTGTTTTCAGTGATGGCCAACTCACTACATTGTAAAATAGTCCAGCTAGGTTTGGGGCAAGTCTAATTCAAAAGTGTTCCCACAAATCAAGTTGACTACTATGCAATGAGTTAGGTAAAGTCAGCTGATCATTCTCTAGTTTGCAATTCCTATCTATTTTCAGCAGTTTTTTAGAGGAAACGGGAAAGCTTTGTTTGGAAAAGAAAGAGTATCCTACAGCGGAATTTTAAACAAAAGAAGAAAACAGTATCTATGCAGATGTTGACAGGAAAAGCCTGGAGGAAAAACTCTGTAACCTTGGGCCCTGAAAGAATAACTCAGCTTCACAGAATTAAGTGTGAACTGCAAGCAGAGTCCCCTCCTGCAGCGAGGCCGGAGGGGCACGCGTGCCAACATGGGCAGGCAGAAGCAGACGGTGCCAGTGCCCGGCGCTTGTTCACCCAAGTGGAGAGGGCGCCTGCACAGTTTAGCTGGTGCTGATAAAAAATACAGACATAAAAGGGACCCACACAGCGAAAGGCTGGAGAAAGAAGTTTACAAGGTGTAATCACAAAATACTGTGAATGTTTAAATTAAAAAATATTTATTACAGTAAAAGACACATTGCCATTAATGTGTCAAAATACTCCCCCTTGCTTCAGACACACTTATCCCATCATTCTTGCCACTTTCTGAAGCAGTTCTGGAAGTCCTCTTTCCTGAGTGTCTTTAGTTGCGTTGTCGTGGCTGCCTTGATGTCCTGAATCATTTTGACTTAGGGGAAAAGCCACAAGTCACATAAGGTGCATGAGGACACACCGTAATGGTTTTATTTGACAGAAACTGCCATATACCAGACGTGATGTTTGACACGGAGCACTGTCATGATGGAGGATGAAGAAAAGACACTCACGAAAGAGGACTTCCAGAACGGCTTCAGAAAGTGGCAAGAATGATGGGATAAGTGTGGGGGGGTATTTTGAGAGGAATTAATGGCAGTGTGTCTTTTACTGTAATAAATTTTATTTAAATATTCACCGTATTTTTTTATCACACCTCGTACACCATACGTTCAAGTATATAAGGCTCCTAGAAATAAGACTCAGCCACGATTCCCCCTTATCCCTTAGAACTTAAATGTGAAATGTCCTGGGGCCCAAAATGATCCACCATCTGATTCATAAGTCACAATAATTCAATGTGACCAGGTCCTGGATGACCTATCTTTATCTTATGCACGTAGAACCACTGGCTCGATTCCCAGTTGATAAACGGAGGTGACCTCCACCTTTGGGAACTAGTATCACCATCCCAGACACAGAAGGTCATAAACACAGATGGCTTGCAGGGCAGGTACATACCAGGATCTTTTCGGTGTTGAGGGAAAGCAGAGAGTCGCAGGGCGGTGATCCTCTGGGCTCGCAGTCTGAGTCATGGAAGTTCAAGAAGGAGGACTCTGAAAAGCAAGCATGCCTTGTTATTCTCCTCAACTTCAACTGATGGCTCTTAGGTGCTTAACTATGAATTGGAATGTTAAGATCACAAAACGAAAATAAGGACAAGTGTGAACAACTCTAATAAAAGGGCACCCCATCATCTCCCACCTTTACAACTGTGTAACGTTTTAGTTTCTCATATCATGCACACCCATGAGCGACTGTCCTCACAACATTCTGGAAATGGTCAAAGCAGTTAGACTTTCCCAGATGGAGAAATGAGGTGTAGGTAGGTTGCAATTTATCTAAAGGCAACAGGGCAAAAATAGCACTAGTCCAACACTAGCCTCACGGCACGCGTGGAATTGGTTCAGTTGGTAAGATCTTTCATTAGACCTCTCCAATCTGCAGTATTTACCAAAGGCTAAAAGAAAATCCCAAAGGGAGAACAAAACCAAACCGGGGGACCTAATGTTAAAACATGTATTAAGGGCCTACGATGCATAATTATAAATAACTCCCAAAATTCAACAAGAAAAAGACAACCCAATTAAAAAACAGACAAAGGATTTGAGTAGGCGATTTTCTAAAGATATAAAAACAGCCACTGTGTACATGAAAAGAAACTCTACATCACTACTAACCAGGGTATACAAACCAAACCACAACGAGGTACCACTTCGCACCCCTAGGATGGCTGTAACGTTTTTGGAAATGAAAAATCACAAGTGTTGGCAAGGATGTACAGAAATAGGAACCCTTCTGTGTTGCTGGTGGGGGTGTAAAATGGTGTGAACACTGCAGAAAACAGTTTGCCAGGTCCTCGAAAAGTTCGACACAGAATTACCATACTACCCCACCATTCCCAAAATGTCTAGGGACACACCCCAAAGAACTGAAAACGGGGACTCAAACAACGTGAACATGTATGCTCGCAGCAGCACTGACAACAGGCAAACAAAGGAACAGCCCAAATGTCCATCAACAGGTAAGCATACACTGTAGTACACACACTGGGATATTATTCAGCCTTAAAAGAGAACGAAGCACTGATACCTCCAAACAAAAAGTGAAAGAAGTCAGATACAGAAGGTCTCACGTTGTCCAATCCCATTTATAGGAAACGTCCAGATCAGGCAAATCCAGAGACAGAACGCTCACTGGTGGTTGAAGGAAATACAAAGGAAGTGCTTAATGGCATGGGGGTCTAATTTGGGGTAATGGGGATGTTTGGGGTGATTGCACAACACTGTGAATGTACTGAACTGTTCATTTAAAAACAGTTAATTTTATGTTATGTGAATTTTGCCTAAGTTATTTCAAAATATTCACTCTAATTCAGCAGTCATTAAAGAGCATGAAATTACGCTCAAGGAACCACGTGAACCAAGTGAGCTAAATTCTCACATGCGTGTGTCTTAACAACAGGAATCAGGACATGATCTATCGAGGAAGCCCTGAGCGGTGAGTAGTTACTGAAGCTGGAATGTTCAATGTCACAAGGCACAGGCAGGGTTTAGACAGATGGGTGGGCTTTGACTGGGCTACTAAAGGGGATGGTTACTCCAGGTTAGAACGGGTGACACTCTTGTCACAAAGGCAAGACAATGCGGAGGGGCAGTGAGTGCCAATCCCGGCTGGAGGAGGGAGCTGGTGCTGGAAAAGAAAAAGTAAGGACGGTAGGTGAGAAGTCAGACTGGGGAAGTCCTGGACTCAAGAGAAAGGCTGAGACTGACAGGAAGGAAGACGGAGTAATGGTAGTCAGCAGATGATTGGAGGATAATGACGATGGAAGACATTTTGGAAGTACTTTGATTCATAACCTGTTTCCCTACCTTTTACAAAAGCTAACATCTGAGAACCTACCATGAGCTAAGCACTGCATGCACACTGCCTTATTCTAGTCCAGCAATCCTTCTACTTTGTGGAATTCATTTCCCTTTCAATAAACAGCTATGTAATTTTAAATGGCTGTACAGCATTCCCCAGCATGAAGCTTAATCACATTCCTACCGCTGGATAATTAGGACATTTTTTTCCCCTTAATTTATGTGTTTCAGTAAGTATCCTTGACCTGTATTTTTGTAAATTTACCCTCTTAGGCAATTAAACTGAACTCTTAACAAATGTCACCGCTGAGGCTAAGGTACAAACAATTTGAAGACTTTTCATATGCTGCTCCATTTTCCTCCCAGTACGTACTGACAATTCCATCCCACCAGCAGTGTCCCAGACGGTCTATTTCCCTCAACTCGGTACCGCAGCTCTTATTTTTCCCACTCTGAAAATAGTACTAATAAGATTAAACTTTTGGTTTATTGGCCATTTATATCTCTTCTTTTGTAAATTGCTTATATCCTTTGCTCATTTTTTAAGTCATCTGAATGTATTTTGGCAGAAGAGATAGAGAATTTCTAATTATTTTCCAAATGCTTAGCTTGTTATCCCAGCACCACTTATCAATTTGAATGCCACTTTCACAAGACATTATGGTCACTATGTTTCTAGACTTTTTAAAAAAGGAAGCTTTGAGATTTACATTTATTCACCTTCTGCAATAGCTCTGTCAGATGATCGTCCAATCTCTACATGGACACTTACTTTTAAAAAATTATAGTAATTCATGTTCATTATAGAAAATACAGAAAAAAATCACAAAGCATAAAAGCCATTTAGGATACCATGATGCTTTGAGAACCATTGTGAAAATTTTGGTGTCTCTACTTAGAGTGATAATTCTGACATCTGACAGCCTGGGTTTGAATTCCTTCTCTCGGCCACTCTGACTAGCTCTTGGCCACTGACTTACCTCCTCAATCTTGTTTATTTATAAAACTGGGTCAAGAAGAACATCTACTTCACAGGAGTGGTTGTGAGGTTTAAATAAGGAATCATAAGTCAAGTGAGTGGTACAGTTTCTGGCACAAACAAGGTGCTCAAAACGTGTTTGCTACTCTTATCATTAGATTGTGGGCACTGAATTGTTTTGGAATGTGCTCTTTCTACTTAACAAAATAATGTCAACACTTTCCCACGTGGTTAATCCTTCTACAGTACTTAAACTTGGTGAGATTATATATCACTTTTGATACTTTTTAATAAAATTTCAATTCTCTATAATAAATATGCATGTTGTTGTTTCTAGACTTTCTAATCTCTCATGTGATCTGTTTGTTCTGACTTTGATGTCACACTGTTTCGATTATTGTAGTCTTAGAATAAACACACCATATCTCAATGTAAAGCAAAGCCTCATCAATTTTCTTAAAAACTTCTTGTCTATTTGGATAAACATTCTTCCTTCAGATAAACTTCAGTCATGTTGTTAAGGTTCCTAAAGATAAAAATCCCCCCCTGTGATTTTTATTGGAAATGTATTAAAATTGTAGATTAAAGAGGGGAGGAATACTTGACTTCTTTATAAAATTTAATCTATTTACTCGTTTTTTATTAACCCACGTGAAATTTTATATAGAATTTACACAATCAGGTTAGTTGTGATTTTTAACAACTGGTTGATAATCAATTGATTATCACTGCTGAGCATCTACTATGTCTCACACACTGGCCTAGCCTCAACGTTTGTCAAAGTTGGAAATGACCCATCCTTGTATTTACAGAGGGGGGAAACCAACAGTAAGCAGTCACACACAGATGCAAAATCACAGCCGCCTCCAAGCATCCTGGAAAGTAGTGCCCTACTCTGTGAAGCTTCTGAGACTAAAGAACAACATCAGCTAATACTGATAACCTCGTCACGGTATTTCAGCACCCTTCAAATCTCCATTTTAAAGAAAAGGAAAATGAGGCAGACAGACTAAGTAATTTGCCAAGGCCTCACTCACACCAGCCAAGCAGGGAGGAGGGTCTGAGCCCAGGCAGTCTGGTTCCGGAGCCTGTGCCACGCACGAGGGAGGGGGAATCTGTGGGAAGGTCCTGGGAGGATGGCAGGACCAGAGCGTGGTCCAGGCGGAAGCACAGCGCCCTGTAAATCTCTGTCCTAACTGGCTAGCACTTAATATTTCATCTGCCCACATGGCTGAGCTCTGTAACAGCTCTGTCAAGGTCTCCATTTATTCGGTGAATAACTATCACCAAATATAATTATATCCAGGTCTTTTTAATATTTACACTCATTTAGCATCTTACTGTACTGGATCAGACCTCCAAAAAGTGCTCGATGATACTAGTGATGAAAGGCACTCGTGCTTAACTCTGACATTAATATCTCCTGTAATGACCCGGGATTTCCACAGTTTCTGATGATAAACCTTGTCATTTAACATTTACGAACCCCAGTAGGAAGCTGCTGTATATGGCTATAGGCTGAGATTGATGCATTTTACCATATAAAGGACTCTCCTTTGTTTTACAAAAATTTCAAATCAGGAAACCTGGCTTTATCAAGCGCTTTTGAGTATTTCTTTAAGATAATCATACGACTTTTCTCCTTTGACCTATTAAGATGATTAATTCAATTTTTTAAAAAGTTGAACCTTTTTTGTACTTCTAGAACAAGCTAACTGCTCAAGGCAGATTATCCTTTTAATTGCTTGCTGGCTTCAGTTGACCAATATTTTACTCAGGATTTTTATAACTATGCTATAGCTTTCTTTCCCTCCATCCCCTCTACTGTATTAGATTTTGGCATCAGTGTTTCTCACTGGTTTGGAAAGGTCTGCCATAGAGAAATAGTTTGTTCCAGTTGTAATTAGCATCATCTGGGACAGGAGGTTAAATCTGTTCTTCAATATATAAATATTTAACTCACTATGGCTTCAGTTATTTTATAACAATAACCCAACAAGCTGTACTTAAATGGTAGGATTTCCATGGAATTAAGAAAAGCCTGTTTTCCTCCTTGTTTACGTCATACAAGTAAAATTTAATGGTGATTACTGCAGAAATATTCTTAAAGCACATTACAAAATCTCATCTTTTTCTGCTACATCATCTTTCCTGGACATTTCTTTATTGCTTCCTATTTTTAACCATGTTAGCAGAGATTTCTAGTTTTGTG